ATGAATGCCATTCCTGCATCATCCCTGCACAACACTTACCATCCTCTTCTTAAAAACCTCCAACAAAAGGAATTCTACAAGTTTTCTGGATAGTTCTGTTCCCCACTTTCTTCATTCCCCTGACTGGACAGTCAGTTCTACTGTCTCACAGTTCTAACATTAAACATTAAAGAATATTTCCTGTTCACTCCAGTTGATGCAACCCAAAATTACATTTCTTTTTTTTTTTCAACTGCACGACATTACTGACTTGTGTTGAGTTTGTGATTCACCAACCTTCCCAGATTCCCCCAGATATTACCCAGCCTACTGGAATATGGTTATTCTTCCATAGCTGTAGCACTTTAGGTTTGAACTTTACTCTGTTGTCCATACCTCAGCTCCCAATCTTTCAGTATCCTTTTGAATTCTATCTCCCAAGGTGTTTGCAATCCTTTCCAGCTTCACATCTTCTGCAGACCCGGGCTAGGGACAGACATTACACATAAGCCGGTTTAAATAATCATCAGAAACTGGTTTAAACCTGTAACAGAACAGATGTTCAGTGCACATAAACCAGTTTGAAAATGGCTGAAACTGGTTTGAGATAAACCTACTTGAATGTAGTATCAGACTTAATTGATTTGGGTCAAACCAGTTTATGCAATGTCTGTCCCAAATCCCTTGCTGGTTTAAGTAAAACCAGACTCCCCCAGCATCCTGGCATGCTCTCTGGACTGGGCAGGGCTCTCTGCTTCACAGCAGGGTTGGCCCTCCCCTCTGCTCTCTGGTTGCAGCTCTGGGAAGACTGCTGGCTGCTCCCTCCACTCTCCCCCTCACCACTGCCTGCTAAGCAGGAAACACCCCCACCCCCATTGCCTTGTGGAGAGGTGTCTGTGTATTAGCTAGCAGACCACATGCTGGCTACAGTCCCTGCTGAATCAACAGGTAGAATCAATAGGCAGAATCAATGGATAACTGGTAATATCCCTCTGTTGTTTTCTTAATGGCATGGTAAACACCGAGTTAGTGGTGATAAACAATGTTATCAATTCCCTGATGGGATAATCAGAGCATCCTGCCAGGGCCTGGCCATGCCTCCCCTCAGCTCAGTGTGCAAGAGAAGGGAGGGTTGTTGTAGTGCCCCCCCAGGCTTCTAGCCTGAGCCACTGCAGGCATATGCCTGCATTTCTGGGTTATCTGTGCAGTTATGAAGTGATTTAGCCTAGCCAGGTTAGACTGACTTGCAAAGAATGAATCAATTCAGGGTCAGGTTTTTTTAATGTTTGTCCCTAGCCCTGATCAGGAAGCTCTCTAGTCTGACATTCAAATAATTAATAAACATATTAAAAAGTACTGGATCCAGGACAGACCCCTGTGGAAACCTACTTGAAGCTTTCAGGCATTCTGACATTGATCCATTTATAAATACCTTTTGCTTCTTGTTATTAAGCCAAATGTGTATCCACCTTATAGTAATTTTATTTAGCTCACATATCTCCAGTTTACTTATGAGAATCTTGTGTGGGACTTTAATAAGAGCCTTATCAATTCCAAGTATACATAGTTGTGTGGTTGCTAAAGGAGCCTAAATTGTACTCTGCAAACTAAATCTGATTTTTCCAAAGGATAATAGCTTGAACCAGGGTATCTACATAGGTGGCTTGTTACAATGGGTATAAAAATGGAGTTCAGGAAATTAAAGTGTCTGCATAATGGCAAAAATCTAGAATACATTATTTCTGAATTCTTCAAAGTAAATATAGAACTAATGAGAAGATATATTTAACACCTCTTTAGGAAGTAGGTTTCTACAAGGGGAGTAGTGGATGCATAAATGTAATACCTAAATTTAAAAAGAGATTTGAGCAAAACTCAGGAAATTACTAAAATGTAAGCTTGTCTTCAGCAGTGGAGAAGGCACTGGATAGAACTGAGTTAGTAATCCATTAATTCAGTGGATTTATGCTTCAGGGATGGTTTGGCCAATGTGTACAATTCTTTCAATAGTTTTGCCTCTGCTTCTATTCAATTTGACCCATGAGCAGAATACAATTTTCACAAATGTATTTGTTACATAAAATGATTTGCTAAAATAATTTGGGTTTTTTTGCAGGTACCAGATATCCATAGTTCAAGTTTCATGGTAGTCAGCTGGATGCATTATTTGCATAATGTGTGTGGGTTAGAAAAATGTTTTTGGTGAAAATACACCTATTTTTTAAAGTTCTTTACCCCCCAAAAAATATTTTCCAATTTTCATCTTTAAATTTGCTTTTTTTCTTACCATCAATTTTGGTTTGGTTTGTTGTTATTTTTATGAGAAGCATACAAATTACAGGGACAAATGAAAGTGGAAAAATTTACTGTGGAATGTGCAATTATCATCACCCTCCAAAAAAAAAATGTGCATACAAATTTAGTATTAGACAAAGTGCCCTGTATGGGCTTGGTTTAGGAAAGGGTCTTAATTTGGGACAGCGTATAAGCATACATTTCAGGGCCATGAATTCCTGACTATAATGGAGAATGTTAAAGGTGCTGAAATACTCTCACCTGGGGACAATTTTTTTGGAATCCCTTTTTTTACAATATTGGTGGTTTAATATCAAATTCTTACACAGAGATACTGTAAGGTTAACAGCTTTTAGACTTTTAGACATTTGCCTTATTGAGTTTTGATTCCTTCATGTGCTATATAT